TCCTAATAATAAGGGGATAACTCCTAATAATAAGGGGATAATTCCCAATAATAAGGGCATAACTCCTAATAAGGGGATAACTCCTATAATAATAATAATAATAATAATAATAATAATAAGAGGATAACTACTAATAATAGAAACATAGAATGTGACAGCAGATAAGAACCATTGGCCCATCTAGTTTGTCCAATAATAAGGGGATAACCAATAATAATAAGGGGATAACTCCTAATAATAAGGGGATAGATCATCATCATAATAATAATAAAATAACTCATTAAAGAGAATAACTCCTAATAATAAGGGGGATAACTCCTATAATAAAGGGAAAAACTAATAATAAGGGGAAAACTCCTAAAAAGGGGATAGATCCTACTAATAAGGGGATATCTCCTGATAATAGGGGGATAACTCCTTATAATAGGGGGATAACCCCTATAATAAGGGGGATAACTCCTAATAATGATAATGTGTTGAACTTAGAAAAAAAAAACAGAAAGTGACAAAAAAGTGTGAAATTAATCACAGGAGACAATGTGACCCACCGCCTTCCGGGGAACTAACAGAATCCCTGAAATACAACGATCCATGGAATCCCTGAAATACAACGATCCATGGAATCCCTGAGATACAACGATCCATGGAATCCCTGAAATACAACGATCCATGGAATCCCTGAGATACAATGATCCATGGAATCCCTGAGCTACAACGATCCATGGAATACCTGAGATACAACGATCCATGGACTCCCTGAGATACAACGATACATGGAATCCCTGAAATACAACGATCCATGGAATCCCTGAGATACAACGATCCATGGAATCCCTGAGATACAACAATCCATGGAATCCCTGAAATACAACGATAGATGGAATCCCTGAGATACAACGATACATGGAATCCCTGAAATACAATGATACATGGAATACCTGTGTGAAGGAATACCCATCACCGTTCGACTATTTGCACTCCATGCTATTAACTTTCCCCAGTTATTTGTTTCTTTTTCAGTGCCAATCGAGTTACCGAACGGAGACCACCCCTGGGACTAATTAGAACGTGGAACACTATGTATCCATATGAAAAACGCAGACTAATTGAATGCTCCTAGGTGGCCGCCATTTCGTACATACGAATACACGTGGTGAGAACAATGAGTGGCGGCCATCTTGTCTCCCGAACACAACCAGAGGGACTTGGTCGTTGAGTGCCTGGAACGGTTTTCACAACACACTCGCACAAACCCTGGTCTATATGGAACTCCGCTATGTTCTATTTCCCAGCACCTTAGACGAACGGCGTTCGGGAGTTCCGCAAATGTTCGCGAACCGGCGAACCGCCCGAAACTCCATTGACTTCAATGGGGAGGCGAATTTTAAAACACACAGGGACTCTTTCTGGCCACAATAGGGATGGAAAAGTTGTTTCAAGGGGACTAACACCTGGACTGTGGCATGCCGGAGGGGGATCCATGGCAAAACTCCCATGGAAAATTACACAGTTGATACAGAGTCTGGTTTTAATCCATAAAGGGCAGAAATCACCTAACATTCCTAAATCACAATCAATATGGATTGACACCTGACATATGACATATTGACACCTTGACATATGGATTGACACCTGTCCTCAGAGCCCCTGATGCACACGGACACAGAGCAGAATAGAGGCTGGTCCCCCTACATAGGGTCACTTGGCAGATATGGATTGACACCTGTCCTAAGGATCCCTGATACACACTGACACAGAGCAGAATAGGGACTGTTCGGTGATGGGACTTAGTCTTTTTTCAGCGTTTTTTGTATTTCGGCTGCAGAGACAAGTCCATTGATGAGACAAGTCATTTTCAGCCTGAAATAGACCGACCTCACAGCCCAAATCTATGGAACTGTTTTGGGCAGGAAAATGTGCTTGCGGTCGGTCATAAAGGGACCTCAGCTAACTTTTTAACCCCTGGATGGATTTGGCTGATTTTTGGTTATGTTTATGTTTTAAGTGTGCTGATTCCAAATATGTAATTATGAAGATGGGATGTGTAGTTTTAAAGTTACAGGGTATGGCTAAAAACTGTATTTTTACTGTGTTTAATTATGTTAATCTCTTCCCAAACGTCATTTCGTTCAAAGTGGAGAGAATGTTAAAAAAATATATTTTTGTTCTGAGTGTGAGAAATGCTTTTCAGCCGCTTCTAATCTTAAGCATCATTTGAGGAGCCATACAGGGAAGAAACCTTATTTGTGAATTTTGTGTTTTGGTATTGTTCTGATCAGTTTAATACCTTCAGCACGTCTCCTATCCCAGTGGGCGATATGGCTCATTTTAGAACGCACCTGGGACCGAGCAAGGTCACCTCGTTCAACAGGCGACAACATTTGTCCCTGGAAAACTATCCTGGACATTCTGTACAATTTGTATGGATATGGCAGTGATTTCTGTAACAGGGAGATGGAAGAAGATGCTTGGTTGGTCCTCTTAATTCAAATTTGGGGCACTGCGCGGTCAAGCTAATGTGCCACCAGATAGGAGTGGTGTGTTTAGTATTTTTCTGATCAGTTTAATACCTTCCGCGTCTCCTATCAGTGGACGTGTATATGGCAGCCATTTTAGGAACCGTACACCTGGGACCCGAGCAAGGTCACCTCATTCAACAGGCTTGCAGCATATCCTCCAGGAAGAAGAGCTGAACCTTACCGACTGCACGTGTGCCCACCTGTGCATGGAAAGCTGCTGTGGTTCCTTGATGACCAGCTGCCCGTGGATTAACATGTCCCGTGGAGAAGCACTCTGTGTCCTGTAAAGCCTCACCAAAAAGAGGTGGTGTGTTTAGTATTGTTCTGATCAGTTTAATACCTTCAGCGTCTCCTATCAGTGGTCGTGTACACGGCATTGATTTTTGTAACAGGGAGATGGAAGAAGAGGCTTGGTCGGTCCTCTTACTGCAAATTTGGGGCACTGCGCGGTCAAGCTAATGTGCCACCAGATAGGAGTGGTGTGTTTAGTATTGTTCTGGTCAGTTTAATACCTTCCGCGTCTCCTATCAGTGGTCGTGTACACGGCATTGATTTTTGTAACAGGGAGATGGAAGAAGAGCTAGTGGAGTCTCTTACTACCAAATTTGGGGCACTTTCTTGGCGGTCAATGTTGACACCAGATAGGAGTAGTGTGTTTAGTATTGTTCTGATCAGTTTAACTTCGCGTCTCCTATCAGTGGACGTGTACACGGCATTGGTTTTTGTAACAGGGAGATGGAAGAAGAGGCTTGGTCGGTCCTCTTACTGCAAATTTGGTGCACTGCGCGGTCAAGCTAATGTGACACCAGACAGGAGTGGTGTGTTTAGTACTATTTTTATCAGTTTAATACCTTCCGCGTCTCCTATCAGTGGACGTGTACACGGCATTGAATTTTGTAACAGGGAGATGGAAGAAGAGGCTTGGTCGGTCCTCTTACTGCAAATTTGGGGCACTGCGCGGTCAAGCTAATGTGACACCAGATAGGAGTGGTATGTTTAGTACTATTTTTATCAGTTAATACCTTCCGCGTCTCCTATCAGTGGACGTGTACACGGCATTGATTTTTGTAACAGGGAGATGGAAGAAGAGGCTTGGTCGGTCCTCTTACTGCAAATTTGGGGCACTGCGCTGTCAAGCTAATGTGACACAAGATAGGAGTGGTGTGTTTAGTACTATTTTTA